AATGCAGTGGCGTTAGAAGAATCATCACAACAATAGTCGTTCCAGTCGTTATACTAACTTGAAGATAATAAAGATTGTGATGGTAAACTCCCTTCATAAAAACCAGTGCTCTACGATAAATCCTCAATAATTACCTTATAACCCTTGGTCTCTAAAGCCCTAAATGACAACAAACTCTTCTTGATATCTGGAACATGTTTAACATTTATTAGCTCCCTCGCAGTACCGTCAAACATTCTGATAAAGATATTTCTTACACTAATAGTATGATAAGCATGATCATTGTACATAATCACTAAACTGTTATCCAGCTCCTTGTATGTACAGAACCACCCTCGATAAGAACAAATGTGATAGGTAGCACATGTGTTGAGAATCCAACACGAATCATTTGTAAACAAACTGTGAGAAACTACAGATAATGATACATCTGAATCCCCCTCTTCCTATAATTCCACGATGAAAATTGGTTTTTGCCTCAGATGCAACTTTCTTTTTCTTCTCCTTCAGCTTCGGACAATCTTTCTTCTAATGATCAATATCTAAAAAGAGAACACCGATTTTTCCCATGATTGTGCCACAATGCTTGCTCCACTTTTGAGAATTGTCGTCAGTGTTGCCTTTGTTTGTCAAATTATTATTCTTCTTCTCAAATCTGTCACATTGGAGTGTAAGTGTCTTAGCTGACTCCATCTTTGTGGACTTCTTGTCCCTTTGATGAAATTCGTGATTCAACAACATTGTAGTCACTTTCTCATAATTCAAGACTTTCTCCCATGAATGAGCGTCATAGTGAAATTTTTGTACTCTTCTAGAAGTGAATTCAACAATAGGAGCACCTTATCTTCATCTCTAACCTCCTCACTCAAATTTAATAGATTTTTCAACAGCTTTGTAAAGTCATTCAAGTGCTCGTCAATATTAGCCCTCTTATTTGAAATTTGTAGAGTCGACGCTTAATATTGAGATGGTTCTTCACTTTCTTCGTCACATATTTGTTCTCCAGCACTATCCACAATATCTTTGCAAAAGTGTCTATCATCAGCCTGAATTTGATCTCCTTGGTCAAGTAATTTCGGATCAAACCATAAGCACTCTGGTTCATTTTTAACCAACAATCTCTCTAGGATATCTCTCAAGAATATTCCTTGTTAGGGTTCATTTTTAACCATAGACGGGACTTCCTCCATATTCAAAGAGCGGCGCATTCATCACCTCGCATAGCCACATGCCAAAGTTCTCTTTGTCGACGAAGTTCATCACATCGATTTTAACGGAATGCGTAATCATCAATTGAATCGACTTTTCCACTACTATAGTGCATGGTTGAAGAACTTGATATCATGTTATCATTCATAACTCCGTTGTTGGAATCTTTCTCAAAAAAATCCTTTAGCAAAATACTCCCTTCTCCTTGATACTGATGTTGATTCTACACCGGAACGCTGGCAAGACCTCGCCTCCTAACCGCCAGACCACCTCTTGGATTCGTACCATGGTCATATCATGAACTGGATGCTTTGTTACCAATTGTTATGCGAAAACAAAAAGAAATTACACAACAACGCTTTGTGGTTCAAGTTAGACACTCAAACACTCTCATATGCTCATAATCCCTAGCAGGATGCTCATACCACATCTCCTTTGGGGTCTTCTTCTCAATAGTTGCAGAAGGCAGAAAGTTCACTAAGTGACAAGCATAGTCTGTAGCCTCGACTCAATAAACTCTATCCAACCCATCATTGAATAACATATACCAAATTTTTTCCTCCAAAACCTCATTCATCCTCTCTACCACCCCATTCTGTTGTAGTATCTCTTGAACAGCGAATGGTTTTCTATCCTAGCACTCTCGCACTCTTGCAAGAACGCATATAATGTGTATTCGCCCACATTGTCTGATCTGATACACCAGATTTTTTACCAATCTGAGTCTCAATCCACTTCTTTCAAATTATGAAAATCTCCAACACTTTGTTCTTGCACTTCATGGTGTATTCCCAAAAATACCTAGAGTAATCATCAATAAAAGAGACAAAGTATATTCGTTTGTTGAATGATGATGCTTCATTTTGCCCCAAACATCTGTGTGAACATACTCTAATATTCCTTTTGCACTGTGGATGAGGGTCCCAAAAGATACACATTTCTTCTTGTCAAATACACAATGTTCACAAAAATTAAGCTTGCAAGTGCTCGCTAATCAATCATTATTTCACCAAAGCAAGAAGTGAAACTTCTCCAGCATGATCTAGCCGCATATGCCACAATGCAGTGGCGTTAGAAGAATCATCACAACAATAGTCGTTCCAGTCGTTATACTAACTTGAAGATAATAAAGATTGTGATGGTAAACTCCCTTCATAAAAACCAGTGCTCTACGATAAATCCTCAATAATTACCTTATAACCCTTGGTCTCTAAAGCCCTAAATGACAACAAACTCTTCTTGATATCTGGAACATGTTTAACATTTATTAGCTCCCTCGCAGTACCGTCAAACATTCTGATAAAGATATTTCTTACACTAATAGTATGATAAGCATGATCATTGTACATAATCACTAAACTGTTATCCAGCTCCTTGTATGTACAGAACCACCCTCGATAAGAACAAATGTGATAGGTAGCACATGTGTTGAGAATCCAACACGAATCATTTGTAAACAAACTGTGAGAAACTACAGATAATGATACATCTGAATCCCCCTCTTCCTATAATTCCACGATGAAAATTGGTTTTTGCCTCAGATGCAACTTTCTTTTTCTTCTCCTTCAGCTTCGGACAATCTTTCTTCTAATGATCAATATCTAAAAAGAGAACACCGATTTTTCCCATGATTGTGCCACAATGCTTGCTCCACTTTTGAGAATTGTCGTCAGTGTTGCCTTTGTTTGTCAAATTATTATTCTTCTTCTCAAATCTGTCACATTGGAGTGTAAGTGTCTTAGCTGACTCCATCTTTGTGGACTTCTTGTCCCTTTGATGAAATTCGTGATTCAACAACATTGTAGTCACTTTCTCATAATTCAAGACTTTCTCCCATGAATGAGCGTCATAGTGAAATTTTTGTACTCTTCTAGAAGTGAATTCAACAATAGGAGCACCTTATCTTCATCTCTAACCTCCTCACTCAAATTTAATAGATTTTTCAACAGCTTTGTAAAGTCATTCAAGTGCTCGTCAATATTAGCCCTCTTATTTGAAATTTGTAGAGTCGACGCTTAATATTGAGATGGTTCTTCACTTTCTTCGTCACATATTTGTTCTCCAGCACTATCCACAATATCTTTGCAAAAGTGTCTATCATCAGCCTGAATTTGATCTCCTTGGTCAAGTAATTTCGGATCAAACCATAAGCACTCTGGTTCATTTTTAACCAACAATCTCTCTAGGATATCTCTCAAGAATATTCCTTGTTAGGGTTCATTTTTAACCATAGACGGGACTTCCTCCATATTCAAAGAGCGGCGCATTCATCACCTCGCATAGCCACATGCCAAAGTTCTCTTTGTCGACGAAGTTCATCACATCGATTTTAACGGAATGCGTAATCATCAATTGGACTTCTCACCATTATTCTCTCGTAAATTCTAAATTCATTTTATAGAAGAGGATTAGAGCATACAAGTAAATAAAGTCAAAAACCAAATTTTTCTTAATTAAAAAAAAGATAAATAACAGATAGATGTTATTTCATTTCAGTATTTTAATTTTGATCAAATGATTAAAAAAATATTTAAACTAAAAATAAAGAAAATTTATTTCTAAATATTGATTTAGAATAAAATTCGACAGGCAAGTGTTACCATATATTAAAATATTATTTATTGAATCTTATTATATCATTATTTCATTATTTAAATTATATTAAAATAGTGTAAATACTTGTTATATCCTTGGATTCAACTTACCAAAAAAGCATTGAAAAATCTGAGTAGTTAAAGAGTCAATTGGAGTTAAAAAAAAAAATTATCAATTACAAGAACATAGGAATTTACATCTCTTTAAAAAATTAATAATTGTCTTCCAATTAAATGATAATTATAAAACTTAAATCAAAATTAAGAATTACCACTGATATCATTGAATTAAATGCAAATGAAACTTCTAAAATTTTTAAAACCATTCAATCATCCATCAAATGCATCAAAATTTTACAATGGCTCTAGTTATGATTGTTTACTTAAATTTTTATTATTTTAAAATTGGAGAAAACTTCAAAATGAATTGCATCAAGCACATGAATGCTTGATGTTATGTTTTATATACTTGATAAGTTTAGTTGATTAAATATTTAAATCTCTCTCAACAATTCCAAAGAAAATTAATGCATTATGTACACAATACATGATAACAAATTCTCATAATCTTCTAAAGAAGCAATAGCCAAGCAACTAATCATAAAAAGAGAGAAATTTAAAAACATACCATGCAATACTTATGTATTTACATCTCTAACATCTACAATTTGATATAAACACTTAAGAAAACATAACTGTTACAAACAAACCCATGAAAGTTATACTTTTAATATGTTAGTGGTATTTTTGATTTGATGTCAAAAATTTCAGTGTTATAAATGTAAATGTAAAAATTTATATTTTAGATACCTAAATATGTAAGAATTGTGGGGTGTGCATATAAACATCCCAAAAAGTGGCCTGAAAAAGAGCACCTACCAAGTTGAAATTAGAGCAGAACACAGCTTCCAAATCAAGTGGGTTCCAAGCAATTATAAAATCTCGAATGATTATTAACAATATCCCCTAAAATAATAGTAATAATTGCATAAATTGGAGGGCCAATCCTTATCAGGGGGCCACCAAGTCGATATTCCATGCACGTGGCTTAGCATAAACTGCAATATTCGGATAAAGCATTCCCTATTAATAGCCATGAATAAAGGGCCATAATGCCTCCCTCTTTTGAATGATTGCGACTACAAATCATAAAAAAATATACGAAAACAAACCCGATTCGTAACGGACAAGTAGAGAGGAGCAAAGCCATCACATTCATGCAGATTTTTTCATCAGATTTAGTTTGAATTCTGTGGCGTAAACGCGATAAAAGCTACCATTTTTAAGGGGAAAAATGATAAAGAAATTTTTTATTTTTAAAATGAAGTTTAATGAAGTCCTCCAGAAGGATTCGAAAGAGCAATTACAGCTACGTCTTATGAAAACATGACAGCGATGCGTGGGTGAGTTCATTTTTCTCCTTATTCAGTTCGTCGCTCCTGCAATCAGAATGGGTCGTATGCTGTAGTTAGAAGGATGATGTAATTGTTTCTTAAATAATTAGAAGGAAGATTTACATACATACCATTCAATTCCGATGTATTGCATATCAAACACCTAAAGTTTTTTTTTTTTTAGGTATATGCCGGCCGTCTTACTTATGCATGGAAAGGTGAATTTCGTTTTTATTTTTAAGTTATAATGGTAATATTTCTTAAGAGATGGGAAAGATTTGGGTGTTGGAAATGCAAAGAAGTAAAAGTTTTGGCTTTAGATATGTAAATACATAAAAATTGGATGGTATGTAGCTAAATGTCCCATAATTAAAATCTAAAGAAAAGTTGGTGATGATATCATTTCAGTTCACATCAGATACAGCTGAAAGATAGAAAAAGCCGTAGTCTATCAATCTTTGGTGAGTAGGTTTGTTAACTAGCAAATCTTGAACCGGTCCACGTAGCTCGGCTTGTTGATTTATTTCTATCTGAATCAAAAATCAATCCAAATTTCGAGCAATCTTTGAACTTCTAAACAATTTGATAGCTCTATTTAGAAGACTTTGAGAGATTTAGGGTTTGTTTGGGGCACTTACAACTGTTTGAAACAGCAATTGTGAAGCTACTATAAAAGAAACTGTTGTTCAAAAAACTAAGGTAGTTATTAAAAATTTATTTTATTTTCAAAAAGCTACGGTAGTTATTAAAAAATTATTTTATTTTCAAAAATTCAAATCGTAGTTTTTTTACATTTACCACACTTTAATAACTCAGATTGAAAACAATAGCTTTCTATCTTCTAAAAAGCAACAACATGCAAGAAAATTTCACAGCAACAGTCTTTATAATCATTGTTTGTGATATTTAAGGAAGTTATTATTAATTATTTAAGATTAAATATAATGTTTGCACTTTAAACTCTAAACCCAAGGCAGCAAGTAGTTATCACATTACCTGCTAGATAGAAACTTGTTATAACCATCTTCAAATCACCTTCATCCTCAAATCATAATTAATCATAATTGAATAATTTTCAAACAATCTTCGAGCAATTATCATATTATGATCGAAATATCTTCTTATATCTTTGATAATGATTTGAACAATCATCAAAGCATGATTAAACCACAATAAAACAATCTTCAAAAAATGCTTGCACTATGAACAAATCATCTTCTTTCACAATTGAAATAATCTTCAAATCATATTCGAACCATAAACAAAATATAATCTAACAATCTCCAAGTCATGATCAAATATGTTTGATGATGATTAGATCATTGTTTGATTATGATTCAAAGATGATTGAAACGTAATTCAAATCATCTAAAGAAGCTGATTTGGTCATAATACAATTATAGCTCAAAAATAGTTTGGTTATAATTAAAAATTTAATGAACAAGATTGAAATATGGAAGGTCACCACACAATAAGATAATACATTTAAAATTAAAAAAATAATAAGTAACCTACGTAGCTCTTGCATATATTGTCTAATGATTGTTTTGAGTGTAATTGGTAGTGACGACTGTCGACTTTATCAATAGCAACAATACAATATATTATATACAAAATTTGAAAAAATATATATGATAAATTGCACCTGATCGTATAAAATTTTCGGAGAATCATTTAAGTCTACACTTATTTTACAATAATATTAATCCATAGATCTATTTACTATTCTGATCAAAACATTAATTTTTTTTTTTACATTAATCCACTTTATGTTGCTTCTTAATTTACATCTACTCGTATTATAGATGCTGAGTCGTGTCTCTTGAATTGCAAAACTGAATTGCATGTGTTATGCTAATTATGTTATATCACCAATAATACACTATATTAGTAATGATTTTTACATTATTTCCTCTATAATTTTTTGTTGTAATTGTACTCACTTTATTATATCAACCATGCAATCAATTTTGTTATAACCCATGATTGAACAACCTTCCAATGATGAGATCGTATAACATTCAAACCATCCTCAATCCATAACCAATCTTTAAACCAAATTCTAACAATCTTTGAATGAGGATTGTATCATGATCGCTAACAAGCATCTTGATCGTGATAAAACATATTTCGTTTGAACAAAGTTTGAACATGAAACCAAACATTGCTACAAAATGATTCAAACATTATTCTAACTTTGTTTTAACGTTGTTCAAAACCACGTCAGTTACATCGTAGTTCAAATAAGTAGTCTATAGTCAAAAGAAGGAATATTTTGGCCCGACTATTTTTAGAGCATATTTCACTAAAAAAATTATAATCCAGCATATTTCTCAATCTTTTTGCTATTATGGGGCAAAGTCAAATTTTCCTTCCCAAATGCACCTCTCTAGCTTTCAGTGTATTGGTATTCAAGACAGTAGTGAAGTGTACCTATTCCTTCTCTCTTTCTTAGAATGAGTCTCCAGACCAGCATTCATGCAACAGTTGTTGAATTACCACTCATTTATGTTCCAGACGAGAATTCATAGACTGCTTGACAAAGGAATTCATTCCTTCCATTCCTGTCCATTCCTGCTAGCACTACAAAGCCTTGGTTTTCACACCCCTATAGAAGCCGTGTGGCCGTTCCCCACATTCTTAGAGTCAAGTTTTCCATTAATTTTGCCACACAAACTCTGCTATTAGAGAATACTTTACAACCTAACATTAGATCATATAACATAATCAATATAACTAAACTTTTATAGATTTTTTTTTCCCTTCAAGTTTTTATAATATTTTATAAGTTTAACTCTAAATTTGTATCCTCCTTCATTTTTATAATATGTCCAAGATTCTTAAGCCAATCATATCTACGTGTCAAATGGCTTCTCGATAATACTTACAATAAACAAGTTCACATTCCCTACCAATTACATGGCTTTGTTATACTGGCTTTGTTAGAACTCGTAGAATTAAGAAAAAGCTCAAGCTCAAATTTGATTAATTAATCAATCTAAAGACCAAGCTCAAGCAAGGAGTAACATGAGCTCGACTCAATTCATTTTCACACTTTCAAGATTCAAACAGAATCCAATACATGTTTGTGATATGACTTCGTACAATAAAGGCAGAAAGGAGAAAAATGGAAGCTAAAAGAAGTGCCCCAAGAAGACATGAGAGGAGATCGAATTGAGGGAAAAAAAAAAGCAAAAGAGAGCGGATGACTAAAATTTGAGAAAAACAAATTAATTTAATATTCAAACAATTGATAATTTAAAACCTAGGTCAAAGGCTTCATTATATAAAAGAAGTACTTGACTTCTTTACATGAAAGTCTAATAACAACCTAAAATTACATAAACAATAAATCAACTAAATAATGTTGAAAAAATCATAAACTTATCTAAATCAATTTTCCTGAATAAAAATAAATAATAAGAAGAAATATATATAAATAAAATGCAGTCCAAATTATACAGACGTCGTCAACTACACCAAGGCACGAAAAACTCTGCACTGAAGAGAAAAACAAATACTTGAACAAAAGAACAAGAGCATTTCAACTACATATGGGTCACCCAATGTCATCTAAGAACAAGAGCATTTCAACTACATATGGGTCACCCAATGTCATCTAAAGGCGGATAAAAAGTTAAATTGGAGCTATAACTAGCAAAGAATCTAAATTAAGGTCATTGGCGAGAACGAAGAACTCTACCTACTTAGATACTTATAACAAAAGTTAGAAGCCTCAGAAAACTTTAAAATATAGCAAATATGAACATAGATAATAAGATGAGCATTCATGTTGAAAAGCAAAGCAGGTTCAAATGAAATAGGTGCAAACTTTCTAATAAATACGAAAGGCTTCGAGGCTATGGTAGGTAATCAATTGTATGTACAATATATAATTACCATCTCCCATAATTTTGAAGTATAACGCATCAACTTAATTCGACTATAATTTGCATACTCTTGTGCATTCCCTTTATTCTTAAAACTGGGGAAAAAAATACTCTTCCTCCACTCCTCAGGCATCTTTTTAGATTTTAAAATAATATTAAAGAGTTTCATAAGCCAAGAAACTCCCAAATCATCTCTTATATATTTTCTCTTATATATTTTCACACTTCAATTGGGATATCATCAGGTCCTACAGGCTTTCCACCCTTAATTTTTTTAAAGGCCTCCTCAACTTCTTTTTTACTAATGTGATGGAAAAAATGAAATATTTGATTATTATTAATGATATTAATATCACTAAGATAGATCGTATTTTCAGAAACTTCATTAAAAAGTTTATAAAAATAATTCATCCACCTATGTTGAATATCTTTTCCTAAGAAAATCACTTTTTGATTTTCATCTTTAATATACTTTATTTTGAGTTATATCTTTAAGTTTCTTTTCTTTTTGTTTGGAAGTAATGATGCTTTACTTTTTTAATCGTCATTACCACAGTCACTTTAAATAGTAATTCAAGCTCCATTATACATATCTTTCATAATTTTAGTATGAATTTGACACAACTTTCTTCTTTAGTCTGCACAAGACAAATTTTTGTGGCGCTCAATCACGTCATCTCAAAGTTAATAAAAGATATATAAAGACCATTTCACTCCACTCAATTTTTTTTCATTACCATAATACAAGAAAATTGCTTTTATAATAGATCTTTCTAGAATGAAAGTAATTAAAGTCTTCAAAAGTTTCATAACTCTCTCCCAAAACTTAATGTATGACACAAGTTTGATACCTGTAAATTAAATATCATTATCATTAGCCTAATCCCAAATATATGTGGTCGCCATTATGAATCCATAATTTTCACCTATTTTGTTGAGTATTGTCCTGGTATTAAACATACTCTTCGCAAATCATCAAACAACTTTTGTCGATGTAACCTTAAAGATAACGCATTTTTCTTCTTAATTCTCCAAGCCAAGTTTTAACAACTTCTCTAACATGCGCTTTTTTATCCTTCATTGTGAAAAATCAAACCAACTAAATCTATTTTTATCATCTTATCTTCAATAATCATTCATTAATAGTTTTGTCAC